GTGGTGTGAGTCCAAAATACCATTTGGAATAAGTTTTTGATGCATTTTTAGGGCTAGTTCACACCAGATGCTGTTGTGATGCAGTCCATTCAGTTTGGCAGCTGCATCAAAATCGTGTTACAATGCTTTCCAATTGGATTTCTGGTGCTCTGTTCACACCAGTGCAGTCAGAAAAAAATCCTGCTTGCCACATTTTAGCTGCACCTGATCGCAACAGAACGTATAAAAAAACGCATAAAAAACCACTGGACTGCACCTGAAAGCCCATTTTAAGTTGAAAAAAATGCAGCAAAACGCATCCCATTGCAGCTGTGCAGATGCACGCATTATGGTGTGAACTAGGCCTTAAACTGCTCTGCTCTGCATCTGCTCCGCACTTGGTGTAAACTATCCCTTAATCTGGCTCACCACTGCTGGGACGAAGGGCCCAGTCACACCATTAAGAGTGCGTTCCAGAGCGTTCGGCCTCTGCAACGCAACCCGGGCCGGCTCACTTTGTATTGGGGCGGGAGGAGGCGTGGGGGTGCATTGAAATCAATGGCACCACAGCCACCCCCCCCCCCCCCCGTCGCACAGTGCGATTACCGCACCCGAACGCATGGCAAATCAGTGTCTGCGTTCCGTTCCAGTGCGATCTGCAAAAGGTAGCATGCAGCATTTTTTGCAGATCGCACTTGGACCAGAACACAGGCACTAATGTGCCACGCGTTCGGGTGCCGGCAAGCACACTCGGCGTGGCGTGACTGCAGTGGCACTGACTTGAATGCACTGCCAAGCCTACTTCCCGCCCCAAAACAAAGTGAGCGGCCTTCCAGTGTGTTCCAGAGGCCAAACACTCTGGAACGCACTCTTTATGGTGTGACTGGGCCCGAAACCAGAGCTGGAGAAATCCTGGAAGCCATAAAGATCCCCTTTATAGGCCTATGATAAAAAGAAAAGTCACAGATGGGATATCGCATTACAAAATCTTGGACTGTAAGAATGGAAATGTAGTCACCATTAAGTTTCCCTTACAGCAAGCTGTACAGTTAAAGAAAAATGATTGTACAAATGACTTAGTCTTTTTTTTCTTTTCCTTCCTTTCCACCTCTAAGCTCATTTGGCGTGCGGAAAGGGTTGGAGACCCCATTAATCTAGCCAGCAGTCCTCCTGCACCTGTCATTAGGAGGGCAGAACAATATACAACTCTAAAAGCATCCCAGTGCTGTTTGGCCTTCTATACAAACAGCAGGACGAGGCCTGCGCGTGCTCCATCACAGAGGCCTACCTGCACCACGAGCCTGCTAATTAAAGCTGCTATAACATAACTGCGGGGAACACAATGCATGACTAACCCGTGACTCACTGCTTTTATACACACCATGTCAGCGAGCACATTTATTTTTTATTTTTTTTGTCCTGTGGGCACAACCTGACAGAACCCCGCTGGAAGAGATTAAGCCTTCGCCGGCGTAAATCGGAATACATAAACGTCTCTCTTTCTGAGGTGTTACTCGGAGAACGCGTCTGATTTCAATAAGAGGATTTGAATCCAGTACAATAGGGGCCTGGCGATTCTGCCACTTCAGTCATGTACAATGGAGTAATTACAATGCCCCCCCTCACTATGAGTTACCATTTTCTGATTCCGTTAGTGTGCTATTTATAGGACTTGCTGATCATTGCATTCAGAAATGAAAACTTCTCTAAAGTGGACCTATTCTCAAAGGTAAAAGCTCCGCTTTGCATACCAAGTCCATTAAACTCATAGATGGTAGAGGAGGTTGCAAAACGCTTACCTTTGCACAATACGTTGCTCTGGGCTCAACCAGCCAGGCAAATGTGAAATATTGCATTTGAATGCATCGTGCTTATCTGTTTCTAGACAGCAAGTGGAACTCTTAAAGTGGCATTAAGGTCAAACTTTTCCCCCCCTCCCCAATCCTGCTGTAGGGACTTACCTTAAATGATGTCTCTTAATCCGATCACCTTCTTTAATGTCCTTTTCAGCTGTCCCTCCAGCACTGGTGCGGGTCTCCGATCCAGCGCTGACTCCTCTGTCCTCCTCTTCTCTGATGTCCCACAGTGTCTGTGCGGGGGCACGCTGCTCCATAGACTTACCTTGTGTCTCTCCTCGTCTCCCGGCCGAACATCTGAAGTGCGCATGCGCCCACCCCAAGATCCTTTGCGGCCGCCCGAGACTCTTCAGATGTTTGGACGGGAGCCCGCGTTGAAGACTCAGGTAATTTTAAACCCTTTTTTAATGTTTTTGCATATGTCTACTGCTTGCTATTAGTAGATATATGCAAAAACACATGCGAGGGTTTAATAACCCTTTAAGTTCTTCTAATGTGTATTGGTATATTCTTAGCCGCCCCACCTGTGAATGGGGGCAATCACATGAGTCTCATTGTATTGTACAGCACCTCCCACTCGCAGCAGATTGCATGAATCTCACAGGGCAGCACAGTGGCGTAGTGGTTTGGTTAGTGCTTCTGCCTTGCAGCAATGGGGGTCGCTGGTTCGAATCCTGGTCAGGACACTATCTGCAAGGAGTATTCATGTTCTCCCTCTGCTTGCCTGGGTTTCCTCCGGGTACTCTAGTTTCCTCCCACACGCCAAAGACATAATGGTAAGTTAATTGGCCCTGTATGCATGCAAATAAGATAGGGACCTTAGATTGTAAGCTCCTTGAGAGCAGGGACTGATGTGCAACTATGTAAAGCCCTGTGTAAATTGTTGGCAGTATATACATATCCCGTCATAAATCTCACGGAGGAATTCATAAGCCTTGTGTATTGGTGTAAATAGGGCATAATGTTTATAGAGTTCAGTAGCTCAAGTTATAACTTACACACACCCCTGAAAGAGTATGTGAACCCTGCCAATTATTTTTTGGGCTTGTTATGCTCTGTGAAATATACAACTTTTTTTTATATATACCTTAAAAAAAACTTCAGTGCACTGAAACGTTTTGTTGCTTTCTGCAGTGTTATTGCAAGCAGTGTTATCAGCCCTGCTCCGTTCACAGCTGTCAACTACAGGACACCTTTACAGTATATTCTGGGGATATATTCTGCTCCTTCAAAGATACAGTGCAGTGAGTGAGCATTGTGACTCTAGAACAGGAAGTGTGTTACTGGCAGGATCACCAGCTGGAAATAAAGGGGAAAAAGCCTGAAAAAAGGGAACTAATGCAGCCAGCACATTTGGGGACTGGTAAGCTGCTGCTACTTTGCAACACATAGGGAACAAAAGTAGCCACCCTCTAGAACAGGGGTGCCCAGTAGGCAGATCGTGATCTACCGGTAGCTCTCAAATCTGATGCTGGTAGATCACAAAGGTTGTGAATGGCGGCCCTTAATTCCATGTTGGTATATTTATTTAGCTGTGCACACATGATTCCCTATTAGCCTGAGTCTGCTGAGCCAAGCTCCCTGACACCTTTTATGGTGGATTCTGGTGCTTGAAGTGCTAAGTATTACATCAAAGAATATTAGTTTACACAGCCTGTTGCACTGCACTGTTTGCAAAATACAGCAAGGTTAGCCAGGAGAGAGAGCGGGGAGAGACAGCCAGGAAAGAGAGAGGAGAGACAGCCAGGAGAGAGAGAGAGCAAGGGAGGGTTTTTTTCGTTGGTAGATCTTATGTAGCTTGTCATTTGAAAAGTAGATCTTAACACAAAAAATTGTGGGCACCCCTGCTCTAGAAGAAAGGACAGTGTCAGCACCAATTCAGAAATGATTTGAGGATCTACAGCCGAGTGATACACAAATAAGATACATTATTGTTAATAGGATACTTGAATGCATTTTTATTGCTTTGCCGCAAAACTGAGGCACGCTGGCAGTGGGAGGGGCTAGCTTGCCTGCTGACACTTGCTCCCTGATTAGCTTGTGTCCAATTCTATTGTAAGTAGCAATATAGCTCAATTGCCTCTGAATATCCTGTGTCTGAATGAACTCCAAGAAAGGATTTTACAAGCAAGTCAAAAATCTTTATTTTTTATTTTTTCATTTCCCTTGCACAGAATTGGTTATGGAAAGTGAACATAGCTTTACTTTATCTGCACTTCACTGAACAGTCTCTACTCATTTAGATAATTAGCTCCTATGCAACCTTTATTATTTTATTGATTCAGAAATCCATTATAAAACTCAAAATTCTTGAAAGCAGAACTCCAAGCAGGTCGTCCACCTCCCCTCGACACCCCCACCACCCCAACAATTTTATTTAAAAATCTCAATACATTTATTTTTTTCAAGTCCTCTTGTTGGTCAGGTGATGTCACCTTGGGTACAGCAATCTTTCAGAACCCAGCAATGCTCACATAATGAAGTTTCAGCACCACTCCTCGAGTTTTGTGAGTCCAGCCTACATAATAATGTGCCACATAGGTGGGTACAACGGGCTGGGCTTACAGAAAATGGGCAGATTGATGTAATGATATTTGAGCACCACTCACGCCTGGAGTACTGTGAGTCCAGCCTACATAATGATCTGCCACATAGGTGGGTACGACAGGCTGGGCTTACCGAAAATGGGCAGATTGACATGATGATGTTTGAGCGTCACTCACACCTAGAGTACTGTGAGTGCAGCCTACATAATGATCTGCCCCCTAGGTGGGTATGACAGGCTGGGCTTACAGAAAATGGGCAGATTGATATGATGATGTTTGAGTGCCACTCACACCTGGAGTACTGTGAGTCCATCCTATGTAATGATCTGCCCCCTAGGTGGGTACGACAGGCTAGGCTTACAGAAAATGGGAAATGAGTGTCATTCTACCCTGGAGAGGACTGCCACTGCTGAGGTGGAAGTCGGGGACAGCCTAGGAGCATGGAGAGGGTAAGTAAAGACTGGCAATATATTTTATTTATTTTTTTATTCATGGGGAGAAAGGAATAAATAAAAAATAATAGTTCTACTGAAATACATTGGTATTGTGTTAGCATCTCAGATTTTTAAGTAAATGTTTCTCATCAGCTAATGTTAATAAACTTCATATTCCTTTGTAGTGGTCGAGGAGAAGGCAACATTGAAACGCAGTTTTCAGCAGGTCCAAGAAGAGGAGGATGATTATCCAGGCAGCTATTCCCCTCGGGATCCTTCCACTGGTCTTCTCCTGGTATGTTCTCACATCACTGTCAATACCATGTAGAAGGGTCACTGACCAGGCTCATTAACCCCAGTTATTCTCATATGTGGCTATTTGCGGTGTCAGGGCAGACAATAACACATGTGTCAGGAGCATCACCTACCATGACCATTCAAGGACATGTTCACCTCTGCCCTGATTAGGAAATAAGCGTTCCAAGGAAAATCTGCTCAGCATCAACCAGTTTCTTAATTTATTTTTTAGTAGAGAGTAGAAGAAAGTAATGTCAGGTCAATGTGCTAGAATTCACCCAAAGTCTTAATTCACTGCCAGAGCCAAGTTAAAGCAGATTCAAGTTCTCACAGGGAAGCGATAGCTCTTATTTCCTTTGCATATGTACAAGCTCAGCTGCTTTGACATGATAGATCAGTCATAGAGCTAACTTTAGAGGCTTTTTCTTCTTATAGATAAAGCCCTGTAGAGCTAGTTCCATGTACTGAGTGCTGTACTTCGAAAAGGCTGGAGAGAACCAGGGGGTAAAACCTCAGGCTGAGCACTCATTTAAGTATACACTATATTGCCAAAAGTATTGGGACGCCTGCTTTTACACGCATATGAGCTTTAATGGATTTCCAGTTTTAGTAGCAAGGAAATGTTACGGATGGACTTATTGCACAGGTGGCAACCTATCACGGTACCACGCATGGATTCACTGAGCTCCTGAGAGCGACCCATTCTTTCACAAATGTTTGTCTGCATGCTGAGGTGCTTGATTTTATACATCTGTGGCCATGAAGGTGATTGGAACACCTGAATACATTGATTTGGAGGGGTGTCCCAATACTTTAGGCAATATAGTGTATATAGTCATGCAAAGTTAATCGAGAGCAAATAAAACCAAATCACTGTACTAGGCTTGCCTAAATCTACATTTGCTTTTAATGCACTCGAAGGCTAAGCTCACCATCTCACTCAAATCCGCTATGCAGTCAAGGGGCCCCAGTGTGTAAAGCTTTGAAATATTGTGCTTAGTCTCCCCTTGTAGAGATCAGTTCTGTCCTAGCTGGGCTCTGGGTCGCTCCAGGCATTGGACGATCGCCTCGAGCATCACAGGGGCGAGCGCTCTTCCAGCTCAAAAACCGCTCATGCGCAGTGCATTTTCCCTCCCCTGTTTCAGCATCGGCTTTGCTCAGCGGCTGCTGTTTTTTTTTTTTTTTTTAATACACTGGGACCCATCGACTGCATAGTATATTTTATTGAAAAGGCGAACTTCGCTTTTAAAGCTCTTTGACTAACTCGTGCAGTGGTGGAAGGTTGCACTTTATATGCAATCACCCGTGTAACTCGTCTTTTATAAATGGACACGTTTAGTTCCTTACTACTGTATAATGTATCAATTGTTTTACATAGGGTGAAAGCTGAGTGTTTTGGCTGTTATAGCAGAGCTGAAAGCCAGCTTCAAACTAAGGTTTCCCCAGTAGACATGGCAATGCTGGCAGATTCCATGGCAGATTGGGAAAATAGCCATTCAAAACAAATGTTATAGAATGGAAGATAGTCAAAAAACTCCAATTCATTAAAGCTGATCTCAATGTATGCATTATTTTCATACTTACATTGGTCCAACTTGGCAAGTATGCTTATGCCATACCTGATCGGCTGCTAGGAATCTTGTAAAGTACTGATGTAGTCGGAGCTACTACAGTGCTGGCCGCAGTCTTCCGAGTCCTGTGCTGCATGGAGCAACTCACCCATACTCTGCTGCAGTGCTGGCTGCAATCTTCCAGGTCCTGTGCTGCATGGGGCAACTCACCCATACTCTGCTGCAGTGCTGGCTGCAATCTTCCAGGTCCTGTGCTGCATGGGGCAACTCACCCATACTCTGCTGCAGTGCTGGCCGCAATCTTCCAGGTCCTGTGCTGCATGGGGCAACTCACCCATACTCTGCTGCAGTGCTGGCCGCAATCTTCCAGGTCCTGTGCTGCATGGAGCAACTCACCCTTGCTCTGCTGCAGTGCTGGTCGCAATCTTCCAGGTCCTGTGCTGTATGGAGCTCCTCCCCCTCTGCTCTGAAAACACAGGGGGTTGCTCGCTTGGTGCAGTGGCCATTCAGAGAACGCCTAGTATTTTTATCAATGAGTGCAAGGCACTTTCTGATTGCACGAGGGATGTTGACATCATAATCAGCTAGGGATCCTGTAAAGCACTATAGTAGACGAAGCTACTACAATGGTGGTTGCAATCTTCCAGGTCATGTGCTGTATGCAGCAGCTCCCCCTCTGCTCTTAAAACACAAGGGGGTCGCTCGCTTGGTGCAGTGGCCATTCAGGGAACGCCTAGTATTTTTATCAATGAGTGCAAGGCACTTTCTGATTGCATGAGAAATTATGACATTGTGATTTGCCCAATCCATGAATGCCCTGTATTCTCCCTCAGCAGCCTATCAGGTATGACATATGCATACTTACACTGGGCCAAGTTGGACCAATGTATGTATGAAAAACAATGCATACCTGGAGTTCACCTTCAAGATCATTGCTTTTATAATGTTTTTCTTTTCTTGGATTACTGTGAAGGTAACACGTACTCTTCGATGAATGGTTGTGGTGTGTGTGTGTGGTCCCTAAAATGTGTGTTTCTTTATCTAATCAGTAGTTTTATTACATTGATTATAAAACGGTGCTTTCTGTTTCATGTCTTTCATGCTTGTAAGCATCCCAGAGTTCTCCGATCTGTTAAGAAACAGCTTTTTTTTTTTTTTTTTTTTTTTTTTTTTTTTTTTTTTTCTTATTAATTTTTTTTTTAAATTAAATT